TTTTAAATTGAAGCAATTTAGATTTATTGTTCTGACGTAACAGACATTTATGATCTGAATGGTACTAGAAAAGTAAGCATAGAAGTGATCAGTATAGCTGATCTTTTTGTGAAAAAAAAATCCTGGTGAAGTGAGGGCATATTCTGGACATACTGGTTTGGGAGAGACCCTGCCAAGTGACTCTTTGCTAGGGTTCTTAGAAGATGCTACTTGGTATATGAGGAAGGATCTTAGTAAGGCTAAGAATAATAGTTACTATTTATTAACAAACACCCACAATCAGGTACGTACACTCCTAGAGCTTTAAAAAGTAGAAGCTAAGAGAATTGGTGAGCTCTCTGTGAATTTTTTTGTGCAGAAAGGCCAGAAAGATAGTCAGTCTTGAGAAAGGTCTTGGGACCAGGTATTGGTTGTACTAGAGCAAAAGTAATGCCTATGTAGATTTGCATAAATTGGAACTTTTAAAGAAGAAGAAGCCCTGATACATGTCTTGTGTTATTTCATGTTACAATTTTAAGATGCTTGTGTTACATTTTTTTCCTTTTTTGAATTTTAGAGTCCTAATCCATTACTCACCTTTAGTGTCAAGACACATGACAGAATCTACTATATGGTGGCCCCATCACCGGAAGCCATGAGGATCTGGATGGATGTTATAGTTACTGGGGCAGAAGGTTACACTCACTTCTTGTTGTAGTGAACTGGAACAACAGTCCACGTCAGGGCATACTGCAATAATCTCGTGCAAGAATGAAGCCATAATCTATCCCAGATGGAAAGACCCAACAGACGCATCCCTTTAACTGTGTACACTTAGAACTCCTTTCATAGTAACAGGAAGTCATTTGTAAAGAAGGAGTAAGAGGTTTTAATTCAAAGCTTGGTCATAAATAGCAAAATAATTGAAACACATATGAGAAACAAAACACTATTTTGGTAAATAGTATCACTTATAGGAGCATTTCTAATGAACTATTTTTATTAATTGTTGATATTGGTGAACTAAACAGTTTACAAAATGTACATACTTGGAAATATGAAATTATTTTAGCACCCAAATCATTGGCATTGACGTTATTGTAGTCAACTGGCTTTTTAAAACTAGGAGCACTTTGCTGAAGGTTATTTTATACATATAAGCAAACAAGGGCTTAGAGAAGAATATATTACAGGAGGAGCTTTTGCCCTAATTTTTTAAGTATTGCACCAAAACCAAAGACTTGACATGACTTCTTTTTATGGTAGTAGTTTCAAGGGATGAACTGCATTAGTGTTACTCTGCGATTTAAAATGATATTTTGATGACATCAAGTGCCCAGGAAGTTGACTTTGCAGAGTCGCCACCAGCGTAAGCTTCTCTACATCTATAGGAAACCACTTTTTGTAAAAGGAGGAAGAAGAAAAAGCTGTGTATTTTTAAAAGAAGCAGTCTTAGGCATTCTGTCACATTGGGCAATTTAAAATAAAGAGACTATTTAGTGTTAGGTGCTTGTTTTCTTGAAGATTTCTTCATTCCCAGTGCTGAAAATAAAGATAACCAGTAGCCAATTTCCTTAGATTGTCTGATTTTTCTTTGTTGTGGAGCACATCTATAAATTGCAGCCTCACATGATATAACTATGAAATCAGAGCTGTTTTTTTTTTAACCAAAGAACAGACCAATTAAGATACTTATATACAGAAGTGCTGTCGTTTTATTAAAAAGTCAAGTGAAGTTCAACAATGTTCTCTGTAATGTACTATTTTGTTATGTATTTCTTTACAATTAGCATTTGTTTTTCTTAGAGTTAAATTAATTTTTGTTGAATTAAATGACTTCAGGCAAGTCTTTTTCATAACAGTTTTTTAAGTACCACTTACCATGGTTTGTTATGTGTGTAAGTATGAATGTACTCTTTCCTAAAACTTAGCAAATAAATAGAAGAAGAAAATAATGGCATTGCTTACTAGCACAAGGTGAAATGATTAGATTGGAAGTGTCTGTAAAATGTTTGGTAGGCCTGACTGGGTACAATTTTTTTACATTTGCAGTGTGCTTTATGTACATGTATATGTATTGCCAATCACAAGATTTTACAACTGGATGACACATGATTTTACTTGAACAGTAGAGGACAAAATCACGATTGCAGAAGATATTTTTATTATCCGTTTTTCAGACATCACCCCCAAATCCTGTAATGATCTAAAAGAGTGAAATACAACTGCTACAATTTTCTTGGTTAGTGTAAAGATATAACTTTTCTATACTGTACTTTTGTCATAGGATTGTAAAGATATTCTAATCAACTTTATATTTTGCATGATGTAGTAAACCTTTTAAATATGTGTGTAAAATATGTTGAGTTTGGATTAAAATGTTGATCAGATTTCACATTTGAAAATAAACTCATCTCTCATTAGGACGTTACCTATTGGTAACATGATGGGGGTTGTGGGGGGAGTGGACTAATCAGCCAAAGTCCATTGTAGAATCTATATAAAGGATTTTGTGTGCTAACAATATGATCTGTAGTTTAAAAACAAGTACTTAAAACTATCTCTGGTCATATTCCTGTTGCTAACACAATAAGATAAACCCTGAAAACGCTGACATCTTACCGTCCTCTTGTGTAGGTGCAATTAGAACTGTGGATTACAAGGACTGAGTTTATTTATTCTTCTGACAAGGAATAAGTCATGCAGGTGTGAAGTAAAGCTCTAGGGCTTTACTCCCTGGGATCCTTCTTGGTCTCCCTGAATTAAGGCAGCAGAGAGAGAAAAACTGCCCCTCAACAATATGTTCTTCCCTACCCACCATGAAGGCAACATTTACAGTAGGACAATGAAAACAAATTTGCCTACTTCAAGCCCATCAGTCACTAAAAGTTTCTTCATTTGACAATAGCCACATTTTTTTTCTGGTTTATTAGACTGACAAAAGTGGGTAGAAGAAATGATCAATGGGTTTCACAGCTTTTTAAATTTTAATGGTTGATTTTAGAGAAATAAAAGGAAAGATAGATTGATTTGCTGTCCCACTTATTGATGCATTCATTGGTTGATTCTTGTATGTGCCCTGACCAGGATCGAACCTGAAACTTTGGCTTATTGGGACGACACTCTAACCCACTGAGCTACCTGCCCAGGACAGGTTTCCCTGCTTTTTGTGTGCAGTGTTTTTCCCATTGAGGGAAAGTCATTATTATTATTATTTTGCTGCACATAAAATGCAAGAAGACATACAAAAATAAAGAATAGGTACAGAATGATTGAAAATATTTGCAATCATCCAAAAACCTTGAGGATTAGTATGTATTGTTACAATATAAAAGATGAAGTGATATGGATTGGGCATGACCATATTGACCTGGTCCCTTCGGAAGCTACAATAGGCCTAATGGAGAACTAGCAAAATACCTTAGCAACTTTAAAGGATGTCCTGAAATAAAGCAGCTGTCCTTACTTTTCTGGTCTTACACCTCTCAAGAAAGATATCCATTGTTTTTATTCAGCTAACTCTTCCAGTATGTTCCCATGGGACTGGTTCTCAAGACTCCAAAGACAGGCTCATTCATCTTAGCCTTTGCATTTGACTCTAACACCAGTCCTTTACCCAATATTTATGACCAAGACAGCAAAAGTGGCTTTGCTCAAAGTATTATACTAGCCACAGGAACTTCTAAGTACCAAAAAACTAGATAGGTCCTTACTTGATGCTTCAGACTTTCCAGAATTGCACTGAACGCTGTCAGAGCTGGAATTCAGGAACCCTTGTATCACAACTTATTTGACCATTTTTCTATTGGCCATTCGGTTTTTTCTTCTGTTTGCTGCTAAAAATGGTGTTGTAGTAATAATATGCACCCTATGTGTTAATGTTGTTTTCTGTAGGATAGTAAGAAAATGGGGCCACTCAATCAAGAGCATTGAAAGTGATGCATATTTTAAATTGTAAGGATGTAGTCAAATTAGTTGACAAAAGAGTTTAGCAATTTACATTCCCACCAACCATACATGATTGCCAGTTTCCCAGTGTTCTTGCCAATAGTTGCTGTTTTTAATTTTGGCAATCTGATGGGTGGGAAGAAATGGCGTATTATCTTTAATTTACCTTTTTCAGTTAGTGACGTTGAACATCATGTTTATGCATATGAACCGCCTATTCATTGCTGTTGACCAATTTTACTGGAATTACATTTTTTGCCATTTATAGGAGCAGACTAAATGGAAGTATTAATGTTCTGCTGTCCTGCACAATGAATTTTTCTAGACTTGACTAAAGGTATTTTTTGGCACTCAGAATGTTTAAGTCTATGTAGTCAAACGTTTTTATTCTTTATGATTTGGGGTTCCAGATCTTCCTTCTATCCCAAGACTCTAACATATGCTCCTAAATGTATTTAATCCTCTAGATATTATTCTTCCGTTGAGATTTTTTACCTACTAGGATTTATTTTTGCATAACGTGACGCAGAGGTCAGAATAACTCAGTAGTAAGGCAGATGAAGAGCTAGAATAAAAGCGAATTTAAAAGGAGCGAAGAAGCGATGACTACCTCGTCCCACTCTTGGTATTTACACAAGTACGTTTAAGGTCAGGTCTTGGAAGCATTTCCGGTACAGGTTAAAAGTGAGAGTGACTTATAATGCAGCAAATTTGGCATCCTGTGCTTCCACTGCCTGGAATCCTGCGGTTGATGAGGATACCAATCTAGCAACCTTGGATACAGTTCCTGTCCACTGTTCCATCCCTGCGCAATCTACCTGCCCACTGAGTCAGTCAGTCTTCCGAGAGGGTACTCACACATTCACAACCGAAATAGGCAAAAACTTAAGAGGGGAATCAAAAGCCCAAAGGCAGAAGACTGACAAGAGCGACACAGCTCTGCCCATGCGCACTTCTCAGTGCTGCAAGGCACCCTTAAGCAAATCCCAGCTTCCAGCCGGCAGCGCATGCGCAGGGTCGGTTCCTGCACGCCTTGCGCGTCTAGATAGGTTAGCGCGGGGCGCAGGGGCCTCTGGGAAGATGGCTGGAGTGGCAATGGTGGCTGCGGGTGCCAGGGATCCGTGTTGGAGGTGGGGCTTGACGGCCGTCTCCTTCGGCTTCCACCGTGGCCTCAGGGCGTTACTTGCACGGAGGTCCGACACGGTGCCACTGTTGCTCCCAGGTTAGTGCCCGAAAGGCGGGAGTACAACGCGTTCTTTCGAACACCCCAGCTTTCGTCATTTCTCGTCCAGTGTGTTTTTGGCGCCCTATTTAAAAATGCTTTGTCACCATTCTCAGTTCCCCAGCTCTAGGCGTCTTTGGTAATTCTGGTGAAGGCTGTGAAGAGAGCCGTGGGGCGGCCCCGGGGTATCCTGGACAGCCTCGGCCCTTGCTAGCGTTTTATATGCTGTTTAGTTTTAAGGATTCTGCTCTCTACCTGCTTTCCTGGCGTTAAACGCAAAACAGGAAAAATTAACATGTGCATATAATGCGTTCCATTATTAGTTGCTTTTTCTTTCTTTCTCTCTGCAGGTTTTAAGTGGCGGGGGGCGGGGGAGGATTCCAAATTGTGACTTTGTGAGGTGCTTAGACTTTCCCCCCTTTGACTTGAGGTGATTTACAATTTGAACATTTTCTTTGTAAAAGTGTATAAAGATCAAGCCTGATTTCTAGTTTTGCCTTCTCGATGCCCCTGCTCAGTGAAAACCGTAATTATTACTTGACAAAGAAAACTGAAATTTAAACCAAAAATCAAAGCCCTTGAATATTTTCTTTATCTTGTGTTTGGTTCCTCCCCATTCCCACCCCACCCCCAGTCAGTCATACACACACACTTACTTTAAAATACATATATGTATACATATATATACTTTAAAATACATGTGTATCTCTCTATATAGATAGAGAGAGAGAGAGAGAGAGAGAGAGATCTCCTGTAAATTATACCTTTTTAGTTTTTGGTTTTGTTGTGTCCACAACTTGGCCATTCAGATACACGATTGCTTGGAATGGGAATTGTTGCAGATGCTGTTTGAGTTAAAAAGAAAAATTTAATGGTGTACTTATATTTAATTGAACACAACCAAAAGATGTGTTATATGTTTCTCTAGCAGAGTATACTATGTCATTTTATTAAAGACTGTAACACTCTTATTTATTTAGCAACCAGTCATTGAGTGATTACGCACCAGACTTTGAGCTAATCCTTATTGTGCTAAGAGCATTTATAGATGTAATGTTAATCTGTGCACTTACAATTTACCAAAGGTTAAATAAATTATCATTGTCTCATGGAGACATTCTTGTGTTGGGAAGTAATATTAAGAGAATAGGGAGGATTTTTTAGTGCTGAGCTCAGAAAATGGGAAATGAACATTTTTGCTTATATAATCTGCCAACCAATATACCTGGCTACTAGCCCTGTTTTTCACTGTAAGTTTTAAATTTGGAATATTTCACTATACATTGAAACTTTGAAACAAGCTTCAATGTAAGAGAAATAGCTTTAAGGTCTCAAATTTATTTTTTTTTTAAATGAACTTCTTAAATCCAGAATAAGGGAAACTTTATCAACTCACATAGAAGAGACTGAGAAGTTTTTGTTAGTGCCAGTAAAGTGGAAGTTTTCATGTAGTATAAAATAATAGATTTTGTTGGTCCAGAAAAAAGACTGTAAGGAAATACACAAATTTGATTTCTTTGGAGGGAGGAGGTGGGTTTATATCTGACTTTTTTGTTGTTTTTATAAAAATACTTTTCTCCATTTTTTCAAGATCAAGTATTGATTTTATAGTAGGGAAAGAACTTCAAAAACAGTGACATGGTGTACCTTGTAAGGTTTACCATTTGTGCTGTTGTACTTAAATTACGGTAATATCTGTGTACCCATCACAGAAACCCTAAACGACAAATAAAACAAAGTAATTGTAAAGTCCTATGAGAAATCTTTTTCCAGAATTGATACTATGGTATATTTTTCAAGGTTGCTTGTAAAGGAACTGCTCATTGAATGCACCTCAGCTCGTGGAGAGTCATGATTGGCTAATACCATAACCCACACTTTAGTGGGTGGAGAGAGAGTCAATAAGAAAAGGGGCAGAGCACCACCCCCTTTGGAAATTTTTTCCCCAAGGACTTACCAAACTTGTTTCTCCCTCACCTCACCAGAAAGTAGAGGATGTGAAACTCCTCAAACATTAAAAGAATTAAAAAGAAGACAAAAATTCCACAAAAAGGCTAAAGTTAGTGTAAGTAAATCTGAATGTTGATTGATACTATTTCAGACAGATGGTATAGCAGCAACAGGAAAACATTTTTGATGACTCTCTATCTTATTGCCTTGAAATTTCCACCTCATCATGTATTTTGGAAGAATCAAGATTGGACCTTGCTCAAAGAAGGTACTGATTTTGAAATGATTTTAAAGGATATGCACAGACTTATGATTTTAATACTCCAAGTCTGTTTTTTGTTTTTTTGGTTAAGTGGAAATAGTATTTGACATCAGTTCAACAAGTTAAGAAAGTTAGGATTGAGGGGGGGAAAAAATATATATATATATATAGTTTTCCAAAAGCTGTATTTGCAAACTATGGTTTATATTTTGTGTACTTTGTTTAGTTTGCAGACAAAAGACATCAGTCTCTTTCCTTAGTCGACCAGATCTTCCAAACCTGGCTTATAAGAGGCTAAAAGGCAAAAGTCCAGGAATTATCTTCATCCCTGGCTATATTTCTAATATGAATGGTACAAAAGCAATGGCGATTGAGGAGTTTTGCAAATCTCTAGGTCACGCCTATATAAGGTAGGAATAACACATTACAGAGAAAATATTACTACCATTTAGCATGGCAGCAGAGAATTACTTATGCTCTAACCAATTGAAGCAAATGCCAGCATTTTCATAGACTAATTTGTTTTACTGGTCTGTTAGCTTTCTTGTGATTTAGGGTGTGTGTAAATGCAGCCTTTAAAAGACGTTTGTCAAATGTCTTTGTGCCACACTCACAATGCTGGCAGGAAAGGAAACTAACTTGTTTTAATGGTCTGTAAACTTTATTGTGGTTTAGGGTGCTTGTAAATGCAACCTCTAAAAGACCTGTTTTATATGTCTTTGTGCCACCCTCGCAATGCTGGCAGGAGGTGCTAAGATCTTTAGATACAATAATATGATGGCAAACGAATATACTAGTTGGCTTTCTTGCAATCTCCTGTAGTTATATTGAGGTTTTCCATTAGGGACTTAAGGACTTCTATTTGACCACTGTTTATTACCTTACTTTTTAAAATAATTTAAAAATAATATATGTATTTAGAAGTACGGTAAGTCATTATGTCATCAATAAGTTCTGCGACTTTAAGTGAAATGATGCATAATCAAAGCAGTTTTACCATAGACTAATTGATATAAACAAAAATTTAATCCCTATGTCATCTCATCAATGTTATAATGAAACAACCCTGAACAAAACTTTCGAGGACCTCCTGTATTGTAAAACTCATAGTATGTAATTCACATTTCCTCTGAGTTTTCTCTTTCTCCTCACTCCTGTAATCTGAATATGTACAAGCTTAAATAGGGATATGTGTTGTTAACTAAAACTTGATTCCACAATTCATAATATTTTATGTGGATAATTATTTTAGTAAAATAACGTGTTTATGTTGTTATTAGGTTTGTTTACCTGTAACCGCCTATAACAATCATTTATTCAGTGCCTAATTTGCAAGGATAGTCTGGTTTAATAGAAGGAGCACTGGCCTGGAATTCAGGAAGCGTGGGTTCCAGAATCCAGTCCAGTGATAACTGTGACAGGATGAGTCGGTTTATAAACATTGGGCCTATTTTCCTCATAAAAAACAAAGGAGGTTGGATTAAGGTAATTTCTAAATTCTTTTCCAACACCAACAGCCTAAAAAGAGTAGTTCCACTAACATTTGTACAATAGATCTAGAAAATTGTTTTTAGAAATAAAATAATAAATATAAATAAAAAACTTGCAGACTTCATCTGTTTAAGAAATTAGAAGAGATTATGTCAATTATATGGATTTAGTCTTATTCCTTTTATCAGATTAACTGAATTGTTTTGTTTCCATGCTCAGAACTCTTACAATTCTGTTTTGACTTAACTTGATTCTAAAGACTGGTGTATCTTTTGCAAGTAGACTTTCTAGCTCTGTACTGGGTGTTCTCAGATATAAAACATTGTCATGCCCTTAAAGGATCTTTTCTTGGGGGGGGGGGGGGAACAGGATAAAATATAGATGACAGACTTGGAAGAAATATTAATCAGAATGTGATAGTGTCAAAAGAGCAGTATGCTTAATTGTAGCAGATGAGAGAAAGGAAATTGAGGATTGAAGTGGATAAAAAAGTCTTTATAAAGGAACACTGAAGAATAGTTTGGATTGGGGTAAGAAGGAAGCGCTGTCTAGGAAGGGAACGAGCCTGAACAAGCATCAAGGTAACAGAAATATTTCCACCATTTTTCCTTTTGTCTCTAAAAGATTTTAAATCAATAAACTACCCTTTTACCAGTTCTTGAATTTAAATTGAGGCTGTGAGAGCTATATCCAGTGCCTGTCTCCTATAAGACATATGTGGGTTTTCTGCACTTTGAATACATGTGAAATACATTGTCTTTTAAAGGTATATTAAATAATCATGATGAAATTATAATGCATATTGACTATTAAGTGGTACAGTATTAAAATATAGCCTATGTATAGCTTTATAAACCTTTATAAAATACAGCCCTTTGCTACAAATTTTTGATTTGATCAAGGTTCTTTTTTTGTGTGTGTGCTTTTATCAAAACTCCACTACAATCTAAACACTATTAACTATTGATTGCATTTAGCTTGTTATGAGAGATTTTTATCCTCTATTTTTATTCCAGTTTCTCAGCTTGCTTTTGTTAATGATTTTTGGCTGTAAAATTTGCATCTTGAATGAGGAGATAGTTTCGTATATTATACAAGTAGTACATATGGCTGTATGAAATGTTTTCTTAATATCCTGTCACCATGCATATGATAAAATGAGTCAGAGCTAAGGACTAGTAGCATATTATTTTAGGGCTGGTATTCTATCAATTATTTCTAATAGAATATTCTAATAGAATATTCTAGATTTGGGAATATACCCTAGAGTATTGAGGCTGCTAGGATAGACTTTTTTTACTGTGTTTAAAAGTCCTAAAACTGCCCTGGCTGGTGTGGTTCAGTGGATTGAGCGCCAGCCTGCGAACCAAAGGATCGCTGTTTCGAATCCCAGTCAGGGTACATGCCTGGGTTGCAGGTCAGGTCCCGGGTTGGGGGCGAGCAAGAGGCAACCACATGTTGTTTGTATACCTCTTTTTCTCCTTCCCTTCCTCTTTTTCTAAAAAATAAATAAAATCTTTAAATTTTTTTTTTTAAATCCTAAAATTGCTGAATATGTTTGAATTGTCTATATCTTTTGGTTAGGATTTTTACTTGTAACCTATTAGTGTCACTAAATGGATGTAATTTCCTTTATGAAGGGCCTTTATATACATTCTGCATCTTTACCATGTATTTGGAAGGGAGCTGTAAAAGATGCAAGGAGAAATGTCTGAGTGCCTATCAAGTGCGGGGGGAAGGAGGACTAGTTATTGTCTTTCTCTCCTCTTCTCCCTTGTCTGTCTCCTACATACCCTGGACTGAAGGGAAATAATAATTGTGATCTAGACTTCAGCAGCTTCTTTGCTATACTGTTCCCCAAGAATCCAAAATCATTTCACTATATACCTAAAGAAATTTTTAAATTTCTTTTTCTTCCTCCATCACTTATAAATAAATATCTGTAAGAAAATAAGTATACATTATATATCATCTATATACTCTTATGTGTATATTAAACATACTAGGATTTTATTAGTTTTCTTCAGATTTTATGAAAAACATGAAAACTTTCAATTTGAATAAAGTCATCCTTTTAACTTTTACCTTTCATTCCTATTCATTTAGAATGTATTGTTAATACTTGATGTGTGAAGTTTATATACCTAACCACTATGGAGAATGCAAGGACAAATACGTTTTTTTCATTGAAGATCTTGCAGTTTTAGGAATGATGAGACATATATGCACACAAACTATCTTATAAAGCAGGATGTAATAATTTAATGTGACTGATAAAAATGAATTCTGTAGAAGTTTTGTAGAGATTTTTTTTTTTCCAATTTGGCAAGCCTTTCCAGCAAAATAAAATGCATTTGTACTAAGCTCTGAGAGAGAATGTTAGTAATGAGGGTGATGGGAGAAGATATTTCAGGTGAAGGAAATAGTATGAGGCATGAAGTGGAGACAGAAGACCTGGAGCCTATTTTAGGAACAGCAAGTTGATCAATTTGCCTAAAGTAGTAGTTCCCTTTGATGAAATGATAAAGGTCATTCTGAGGTGACCAAACTATAATCGTCTAAAAACAGCTAAAGTACTAAATTTTTATGTTGTGTGTCAGAGGGAGCCATTGAAGTTAATGCCATATCAATATAATCTTTTAGGAAAAAACCTGACAGTTACAAAGTGGGTCCATTTGAAGAGAAAATAGAGACATAGAGGCACAGTTAGGAGGCTACTGTGATAGGCTGGTTTTAAGATGACAGAGACCTGCACCAAGGTACTAGTTTACCAAATTACAAGGAAAAGAATGAATGTGAGGGGGAAAAAATGAGAGTGAGTGAGAATGGTACAGGGCAGGCAGGACGCTATACCCTGGAAAAACAAACTCAAATAAAACAGCCTGCCCGTGAAGAACTGACATGCTAGTCAGAGAGAGACAGATACTCAAAACTTGATCATAACACACAATATGAAAAGTGTTAATTGAATACATGCAAAAGAAAGTGACTGGTACTAAACAGGCATAAATTGCATACACGTCAAGGAAAGTTTCTCAAAGGAGGTGATACGACTAGGAGTTTGGGTGGGAGCAAGGTGTTCTAGGCAGTGGGACATCACAGAAGGCTCAAAGTTATGAATGGGCGCATCGAGGATTTGGGAGTAATTCAGTACGACTAGGGTTTATGGTAATCTATAGGAGTGGTACTGATACTTACCCTTTAATTGAATTGATACCTTGTGGAGAGGTGAAGTTCACAAATCAGGCGGACTTTGAACCTGGAGAGCTAGGAAGTTGGAAGGAGAAGCAAACTAAGTGGGTGGGCCAGTGATGATGAGTTTGATTCTGGTCTCCTCTTTCCCATCCACTAATTCAGTAAATATGTACTAAGCATTTACCAGGTGCAAGGTACTGATCTAGGCACTGGGAAAGCAGTAGTGGACAAAACAGCCTTTGCTCATACGGGACTTCCATTCTAGTGTGAGAGACAGATCACAAATGAATAATCAGATGTCATACATAATGCCAATAGCAATATTTTCTGTGAAGAAAATGAAACAGGGTAAGGAAGTAGAGAATTATGAAAGCAGCACAATTTTAGATTGAATGATCAGAGAAGACTTCCCTGAGGATGGAACAATTGAGCCCAAGGCCTGAATCAAGTGAGGGAGCTATCTGTGTGGGTATCTGGAGGTAGGTTATTCCATGTGGAGAGAAAAAGCTGATGTAAAACTTCTGCGACAGGAACACGGGTGGTGTTTTCCGTTAGCTCAAGAAGGAAAGTGAGGATACAGTTGGGAGGGAGAGAGCAGTGACGGTTGAGGTCAGAGAGGTAGTGTCAGGGGCCAGCCTGTGGCAAGGACTTTAGATTTTATTTAAAGATTATAGAAAGCCTTTGGGTGGTTTGTGCAAGGCATGATTTTTGTTTTAGAAGGATCACTGACTACAATGTGGGGAGTAAACTATGAGGGTAAAAATTGAAAAGAGGGAATCTTAGTCCTGTCCAGAGAGGAGAGTGATGTGGATCAGGCTGCCTGCAGTGGAGGAGATCAGAGAGTGAGTGGCTCTCAGCGGTATTTGATGGTTTAGCCAATAGGATTTGCTGAAATATATATTGTTTTAATATATTTCAGGCATTGTAGTAATGATGAATGTGCTGTATTCCTTAAAAAAATCAGAGAAGCAAATACATAGATAGATAACTAGATACAGATTTGTATTTTCCCTTTTTTCAGGTTTGATTACTCAGGAGTTGGGAATTCAGATGGTAACTTAGAAGAATGTACAGTGGGAAGATGGAGAAAAGATGTTCTTTCTATAATTGATGACTTAGCTGTAGGACCACAGGTGACTATTTTTGTTAAATATGATGTAATTGTTGATGATAACCTCATGATATTTTAACTGTTCCTTTAGATATGAAAAGTTATTTAAGTGTTTAACAATCAATTTTGATATTTTATTTAAAATTTTGTCATTTTCACCTCATAAAATGTATCATTTTACTTATTTCACAAATCGAATTTTAACTTTATAGTTCTTTATTATAGACTGAGTACTTTAGTAAGAAGTAATCATAATTTTCATTCTACTTTGTGCCAAATATTAAAAGTCTGGGAGCCAAAGGGTATAAAAGAAAAAAAGTATATACATTCTATGAAATTACTCCACTTACAGAAAAGAAAAAGAAATTCCTCTTTAAAACTATACAGGCCCTGCCTGGTGTGGCTCAGTGGACTGAGTGCAGGGCTGTGAACCAAAAGGTCTCCAGTTCAATTCCCAGTCAGGGCACATGCCTGGGTTTTGGGCCAGGTCCCCAGTAGGGTACGCATGAGTGGCAGCCACACATTGATGTTTCTCTCCCTCTTTTTCTCCCTCCCTTCCCTTCTGTCTAAAAATAAATAAAATCTTTTTTAAAAACTATACATATTTTTATTTTTAGATACTAGTTGGATCTAGCCTTGGTGGATGGCTTATGCTTCATGCTGCAATTGCACGGCCACAAAAGGTTGTGGCTCTTATTGGTGTAGCTGCAGCTGTAGATGGCCTGGTGACAAAATTTAATCAGCTTCCTGTTGAGGTAAGTCACAGGCAACCTCAGGTTATATACCTCCTAGCATTCTCCTGCTTCCTCTGTCTCTGAATATTTGTTCATGTGTCATCTTTCCTTTGACTTACATTGGCCCATCTTTTGTCTTAGCTGCTTTTTTATATAACATTTCTTTGCTTTCTTTACTATTTGGTCTCTTGTTTAAGGTTGCTTTTTCTTCAGTCCCTTCAATTCATTCTGTCACATATTTGAGCCATATTAATAAAATAACACTCTAAATTCCTTTTTCTTTTTTTTATTTTTTGAGCAACATTTGCTTTATTAATCACATTTAGTTATTTGGATCATACATCATGATCTCTTCTTATACCTCTTCTTATTTTATGGCATTCGGGAAATAGTACCTATTCTCATGACCATATTAAACTTGATTCATCAATTATGAAACTGTTCTTAGCCTCAGACTCTCTTGGTAGAGTTCTCCAAGTGCATACTGTTAGTCCATCAGAATCAGCACATGGGAGCTGAGATTTGCTATTTCTGGCTTAGACACTTAGTTGACATTCTTTTTTTACTCCAAATTCTCACCTTTAAAAAAAGTGCTTTTTACTATTAGCATGTTCTTCAACAAATTACGGTAGAGGTGAAGTTTCTGAAATAACTGGGAAGGTAATTAGTTTATTTTACTTTATTATTGGATATATGTTGAAGCTCATCAGTTGCCTGCAAGGATAAAAAAGTAGTGAGTAATAGTTGTTTATTTTTGTGTATGTTATTTATTTATTGCAATCACTTGAGTTTTCCTTGGGCGTCTTTTTTTTTTAGGGATCTAAATCTTAACAGTGGGACTAAGATCCTGGCAGGCCTGCAGCCGAGAACATTAAGGAAAGGAAAACAGCCTATAGCAGGGGCTCAAAAAATAGGGTCCCTAGGCCAGCAACAGCATCATCTGACAACATGTTAGAAAGGCATGTTTTTATGGTTCTTGTCCTTTTTCCCTTTTTCATTTGACTTACTAATATTTCACTTAGCATCATACTCTGAAAATTCATATTGTTGCAAAGAACAACATTTTATCTTTTCTTATGGTCGAGTAGTATTCCATTGCATATATACACCACATCTTTATCCAGTCATCCATCGAAGGACACTTAGGTTGTTTCCATGTCTTGGCTACTGTGAATAATGCTGCAGTAAACAGTGAACATAGGGGTACCAACCATATGATATCACTCATATGTGGGATATAAAACAGAAAGCAACAAAGTTAACAAACTCATAGACACAGACAACAGTATGTTACCAGAAGAAAAGGAGGAGGGTGGGTGAAGAGGGTAAAGAGGGGCAAATATATGGTGACGGAAGGAGGCTAGACTTTGAGTGGTGAGCATATAGTGCAGATATACAGGTGACATATTACAGAATTGTATACTTGAAACTTATATAATGTATTAATGAATATCACCACATTGGATTTAATTCAGTAAAAATCAAAAAGCATATTCTTGAGCTTCACCCAAGATCTACTGAATCAAACTGGCAGTGTGGCCCAAGAAGCTGTTCTAACAAGTCCCTCAGGTGAGGTTTGAGAACCACTGCTCCAGAGAGTGAAGGAGCAGGAGGAGAAAAACAAGAAGAAAAGTAGCGTTGAGTTATGGAATGTCATTATCTTTTGTCTCAAGTTCTGCTTTGAACCCAATGCCACATATTATTTGCCCTATGTTTATCCTTAGCTTATATTGTTCTTCCCAGCTCCTTAAGAAATGGCATTCATTTTCCGCACAGTCAGGTTCTCTGTGATTTCCTATCAGGGCTGAAATTGTAAGGCTAATTTCCCTTGCACTTACCTCCTATTTTTTGTCACTTTCTTGGTTGTTTCTTATACATAATTGCTCAATACCCTGATGCTACTAAATTTTTCTACCATTGCATCTTCCTATGTATAAACCTTGGACCTCTTGACTCCATCCTCTTAACTCAGCGGTCTCCATCCTTTTTGGTAGCAGGGACCAGTTTCCTGGAAGACAGTTTTTCTAGGGAGTGGGATGGGGAAGGGGTTGATTCAAGCTCATTTACATTCTAACTCACCTCCTGCTGTGCGGCCTGGTTCCTAACAGGCCAGTTACAGGTCCTCAGCTGGGAGGCTGGGGACCCCTGCTCTAAACTTACTTAATGTAGTGCTTCTCATGGTAAGAAATTATTTCAAGAATATGGCAGATTGGAAAGGAGTTGATTTAACAGGTATTTTCTTTTTCTTTTGGCAATTGGCAAATGACAAGATCTGTGGATGTATGTTTTTATTTGTGTGTGTGGTCACATCACTCAAAGAGGGGATATAGTAGATACCCCCTGAGTGACTGAGAAGACTTACATTCTGAAAATCAGAGCCTATCTCTGCTAATCCTAAATCAGACCAGGAAACAGTTGTTAAGAGAAACACACAGTGCCTTGTTAACTTCAAAGCATGCGTAAGGGAATTGCAGGGACATTAGGACCACTGTCTTTTCCGCCCAAACAGCCAGCCCTAACAGTGTCCAGGAAGCAGAAATGGGATGTTAAGACCAGCGCTTCTCATTGTGTAGGAACTCTTTTAACATACCTCTTAACTCACTCTAATCATTGTCTCCTTTGGACACCAGGGGGTGTCAGATGGCTGTACAGTTTGGAATCCAAGCTTCTCAACCACATTACCTTGATCAGTTTCTTGTTGGAGAAGAATTTATGCATATTGTACATTTTCTCTGGTTAATCCTGTCTTTGCTATTTCTGAAGCACCCCCCCCCCCTTTTTTGAGGATTCAGGATATGTAACATTTTGTAAAGTTTGTTCTCCAAATGAACAATACTCATTCAATTCATTGCAGATAATAGCTACTTGGGCAAGCATACTTAAAATGCAACTGTTATTGTGTCTCAATAGTTAGCCTAATTTACACTTTATCAAATAACCAGTGAAATTAAGTTCTAATTACTGAAATTACAAATTCAGGAGTAATCCTGAGTACTTTGAAGATATCTGAGTATCATTTTTGCTTTAAATATAGATTCATACATTTTATACTTTTTAAAATTTCATTAATTTCAAATCATTTGAGACAGATATTTACAAGTAGAGCTTTCAGATATACAGCTTTCTCACTGAAATCAGGTGATTTCAACCATTCAATTTCACTGAATCAAATCTTTTTGGAATTAAGAAATACATTAAAATGTCTAAATATATATGTATATTATGTGGTATTTATTTTACTGTTTAAATTCTTAGATTGTGTAATACTATTGCATGGGTTAATGCGTAATAAATACTTTTATTTTCCTAATTTTTCCCAATAGGTGAAAAAGGAAATAGAGATGAAAGGCGTCTGGAGCATGCCATCAAAATACAGTGAGGACGGGGCTTACCGCATTCAGTATAGTTGCATTAAAGAAGCTGAACACCACTGCCTGTTACATAGCCCTATCCCTGTGAACTGCCCTATAAGATTGCTCCACGGCATGAAGGACGACATTGTACCTTGGCATACATCCATTCAGGTTGCTGACCGCGTAGTCAGCACAGATGTAGACGTCATCCTTCGAAAGCATAGTGATCACCGCATGAAGGAAAAAGCGGACATTCAACTTCTTGTTTACACTATCGATGACTTAATTGACAAGCTTTCAACTGTAGTTAACTAGAATCACATTGTTAGTTGGTATATAAACTAATGGATCCAGAGATTGGGAGAGGGATAACAAATGGAAGACCCTGATACTTTGGAGGATTTTTTCCTCTTGCCACTGTTTTGTAAATATCACATGAAGTTTTATTTAATGATGTCTTTGCACTTAAGTGATACAAATGGTGAAGAAAGTACAGTTGTCCTTCTGTGTCTTCCAGGGATTGGTTCCAGGACACCCCCAGCTCTTGGATACCAGAATTCAAATATGCTCAAGTCTTATAGGCATAGTATTTGCATATAGCCTACCCACATATTCCTTTATAGGCATAGTATTTGCATTTAATCTACACACATACTCCTGTATACTTTAAATCAATTCTAGATTATAGATTATACCTAATACAATGCAAATGCTATGTAAATAGTTGTTTTGCAATATTGTTTAAGGATCAACTTTCTGGAGTCTTCTTTTTTTATTTTTTTAATTTTTTTTAGTATTTTTTGACCTGTGGTTAGTGGAATCCAGGAATATGGAACCTGCAGACACAGAGGGCTGACTGTACCAGCTGCTGGAGAATTAGAATATCTTCTTCCTTCTGTCCCCGATTCCTTTTTTCATTAATATATTTCCTATTTTTTATTCAAGAGATGTTTAACTTCTAGTGCTTTTGTTAACTGTGCCAGCTTTTAATTGTGGTCTCTCTTTAGAATTATTAATAAAGCTTAAAATTTTTGTATTTTGGTATCATTGTACGTGGAGATCTGTAAAATTCTATCTTTAAAATGCAGTTCACAAAATATAGGAAAATAAACCTGAAATGATGAAGGAAATGTGAAGCATAATAAAGTTCGAAAAATAAAGATAGTACTTTATATATTTGGCTTGTTATACTTGAGCTTAAAATTAAAGTTATCTTTTTTAAAGGCTCAAAACAACAGTACTATAAAGGGGTTATATTCTAACTTTTGGCTTATGTGTATTTGAATGGGGTCATTTCATCTTAAACAATGAGGTAGTTTCATATTCTAAAGCGGGGATTAAGCTTTATATATCATATGCTTACCTACAGAAACATTTCGTTTTTATTAGTATGTGCCATAAGTTTAAGTAGCCAAAAGATTGCCAACAAAATTAGAGGACTTTCAGAAGTGCAAATATAGTAAGAAAATATAAAATATGAATATAAAAGTTTTTCTTTTTAAAATACCTATGCAGTAGTCAGTTTTGGCATTACTGAATTGGTGGTTTTTAGCTTTTAAGTTTGGTTGGACTTTAGCTTGCTTGGGTTATGTCTGTGAAAGTAACACTTAAGTTGATAACATTGAGAAATAACGTTGGGATAAAACTTTTGTGCCAAAGAGTTAACAGAGCCTGACAACTTATCCTCCGAGACCTGCTTACAAGATTGGCCCGTGGCTGGCATCTGGGAACTTGAATTTTAGGAAGGTTCCCACTACTGATAAAAGTGGCTCCCTGCATAAATTGCACAAAGAGTGTGGTTTGTGCTGAACACCTGCTGTCTTAGGAGTCTGGAATTTTGGTAGGTTCCAGGCAGAGGCAGCCTAAGTGACCAGCTCCCAGTGAAAACTCTGGCTCTGAGTCTAAACAAGTTTCCCTGGTGGACAGCGTTTCACATGTGCTGTCTCAACACTGCTGGGATTAAGCTCATCCTGTGTGACTCCACTGAGAGAGAATTCTTCAGAACTTCTGCCTATTTTTCCCAGATTTCACCCCAGTTCCTTTTTCTTTTGTGAATTTTGCTTTGTATCCTTTCACTGTAATAAATGATAGCTGTGAATAGAACTAGGAGTCCCTAGAAGACCTAACAAATCAAACCTGGGAGTGACCTGGCAGATGCCTAACAGGTATGAAACAGATTAACGTCCTAGAAGGCAATAAAACTACAATCTATAAATTATGCTTTATGTCAAATTATTTACAAATAAAAAATGTATGAATTGTCTGCCATAGCACCTGGTGCTAGAGGAGGTTGATAGTGTAGGGCAGGATAGCTATTCCAGGGTCTGGTCTTCCCAGTCACTGCTTGGCATGACTATTACAAAGATTAGAGGGAAAGCTCCCCCATGAGCATCTTCTAGGGTTAAATAGAACTATAATAAAATGTACCATACATGAATTCAGTTTCATGATATATCTGTAGAGGGATTATAGCCTAATGATTAAGGATGGACTATAGAGCTTGGGTTTAACTCCTGGCTCACCATTTACTAGCCCTATGAGAGCATTATACTTGCCCTACCTGAGGTTTTCTCATCTGTAAAATGACAACATAAACCTGCATAATAAAGTGTAAAAATGAACTAATACAAGTAAAACAATGACACACAGGAGTCACCGCCTTTGCGCTTTTATTATGTATGCACAGAGCACAGTCTAGTGAGAAGGTGATGAACACAAGCCATAGGGGTTTAGGAAGGAAAGTGGAGGCAAGAAGTAGAGCTGCTAAAGCTGACCTGGATTGGACCTTCATAATGACCGCAGATTGGAGTGTTAGTTGTGTGGTATCCTTTCAAATGGTTAGAGAAAGTGGGGAGGGGAAAATCTTCACTCTCTAAATTTAGATAGAAAAGGTTTTAAAATTTAGCTTTGTAGAAGGTAACATCACAAGTTCCATATGAGTGTGAATCAGTGAGATTTAGTGTATTCTAGTACATTATTAATTACTTCAGTGTTCTTTATTTTTCCCCAAAGCTCTCTTTTTTTCTTTTTCCAAAAACCACTCCATCCCCTGTATTTAGTGACATGGAAAATACAGAATAGCCAGCAGCCTCTGAGTGCCTTATCCTGCTGAACTCCTTTAAAAGGGATGCGACCCCTCTAAACAACCTCGGCATGTGCAATGGAAAGGGATCGGGCAAGTGCCAATGGATAAAAAGGCCAAGTAAGGCCACATAACATACTGTATTTGCTTTTGCTGCATCTGCTAAGCTTAGAGGCATTTCCAGACAAATCTAAGCAGTATGCTGTTCTCTGAGGAAGCAAGAGAAAGACCTGTGTGGAGGAGAGGAGGAAAGGGCTTTAGGCAAGGCCGAGTTTTGTGAAGGACAGAGAGAGCAAGAACATCACCCACCACATAACCATTCCCAGGGCAATGCCCAAAGAAATAGATCAAATAACCATTAAATCTGGGACTGCTTACAGATGACCAAAACTGAAGAACTTTTATTTCCTGGAGGAAGACAGATGGAATTTAGATACACATTTTTAAGATCCCCATTAAATACAACTCAACAGTAACTTTTTAGTTTAGAACATAATCATGTATGTATAACTTGGTTTGATGAAAAAAATGTGATGATTGGCTATGTTTAGAGAATGTACCTAGAACAAGGCAAGCAATGTTTTTTAACCAAATGTGTCCACACTGGAAATGATTCTTTCCCATTTGGGCTCTCTCTTTTCTTGGGCTTTGAGGGTTTTGCTGACAGATAAACTTTTTTTTTTTTACTAGAAAGATGCTCAAATGTCAGCTTAGGGAGTAAAGCCTTTCCTGGCTCCTCCTCCTTGCTCTCTCTTTCCAAAAAAATTCATGGGTGGGTCCTCTGTGTTCTCTCATGAAAAGCAAACATTCTGTGTGTGCCTTTTGCTAGAACTTACTACTTTGAGATGCTCAGTTTATATGCCAGGTTTCCTCTCCCAAAGTACCGCTGAGGTCAGATGCTTTGACAGTGCTTATCCCCAGGTGTCCCTGACCATCAACCCCTTTTGCTGGCTCCTCCTCCGTACCCACCTTGTAATGTTAATATTTTCTTTCCATTCTGACCATGGAACTTACCTAATGCACCTCAAGTGACCATACCCATGTTCTGGGTTTTAAGTGCTACCTGCATGCATATGATTCAAGTACATTCCTCCATTCTACACTTTTCTCTTGAGTTTCACATACATAAAACCACAGCCTAATGGACTGGGGTGAACCATTGGCCTCCAGCAGTCAGTACAAACCTCATTATCCTTCCCACTTTGTGTACCTCCCTAACTGTGAGTCCCTTTGCAGTAAACGGCACCGCCATTACCCCTGTATACAAGTCACACTTGTGAGTCATCTGACCTTCTCCCTTTCCTTCACCCAAATCAGAACTGATGCTTCTCTTTCCCTGTGGGGGAAAATAATCTTTTGCATGATATGTAAGTCTAGATTTCCAAGGAAGGAGGAAACCCTGATTTGCAGAGTTTACCAACCAACATCCAAAGCATAAATACTCTTCATGCTACCATTGTTACCTCACTGAATACGAGGAAGCTGGGCAGAAGTGGCCAGTAGTGCGTCATCATATAGGATATACATTATGTGGATGTAAAAGGGGCCACATACTAAATCTAACAAGCTCAGTGGAAGCCTACATGGTAGACCCTAGAAACTCAGACACAGAGTGGTCTGAACACAAAAATTCCTAGCTAAAAGTGGGGCTTGGGAGAGAGTCATGTCCCAGGCCTGTCGCTTCCTTAACAAAGGTCAATTTTTACCTTTGAAACTGTCCTTTGTCTTTGTGCATTTAAGATGACATACCTTTGAAATATCAGAGTTACAGTCTTTTCCAGACCCAGAATTCCCTGCTTTGCTTTCTCTCACCTTCCTAATCTACCACCAATGGATTTCATGTAACACTCCCTATTTTCTCCTTTGACTGTAATGTACAAAATAAGCTGCAAAACTGTCATTCTCCAGAGAAGGCGTTGAGATTTTGGCTTCTGGTAATTTTTGTCGGTTGGTTCAAATAAACTCTTATAAGACTTTTTCTTAGGCTGGACATTCTTTCTTGACAACTGTATACAGACAATAAACATAAATATCCTCAAACACATAGGTAATACTAAAATGTAGCAAAATAAATTAGAAAGTGATCTGTTTTGAGCATTTGACTTGTGCTTGTAATATAACAAGAGCAAGTTTACATAGTTTAATTGCTTATAATGGCTGAATTTAACAACTGGCCCTCAAAATTTATGACAATTTAACCATGGGCACTTGCGACCACACTACTTTGTGATCTGGAGCCTGCCTGACATTTCGGCCTAATTTTTCTTACTGTGTGTCTCTTCTCTGTAACCCTATGCTTCATTGATATTAGAACATTTTCACCTTAAATAAGCTGGCTTTGCCACTAACATTTCCTGTCCTCCCTACCTCATCCATCCACCTGGCAAATACCTTGCTCCATTAACATGGCAGACATGTGCTCATCTTTTCAGACTTAAAGTCATCTCATTTTTAAACCTTTTCCCCAACTCCCTACCCGCTTCCTCTAGGTATAATTGTACCTTTGTACCTTGTGCATAGTTTTAGCATGATACCTGCCTGGCATTTATTGTTTACAAATTTAACTTTGCTACTAAACCACGTTGCCATGTCTTACTCATTAAAAAAACAAAAACAAAAACAAAAACAAAAACAAACTCAGCTATGTAGGCCCTTAACAAATTGTTGAAAAATTTTAATACTAGTAGGCACTCAGTAATTGCAGGGTTGAGCCAATTTCCACTGTCACTCCTCCAGGGGATCAAGCTTTGTTCTTTAAAGACTTTTTGTGGATTTGTGAACGTATCTAACCTGTTACCTTGCTGGTAAAGACTGTCCCCCTCTTTGCTACTGTATCCCCTCCAGAACCTTGAGCTCAAGCATTCACTTAAAACACCCAGTTATTTGTTACAATGGGAAGAAATCTTTGGGTACAAAAGATCTGTAAAGCATAGTGTGAAAAAAATATACAAGGGGGGAGCTGTCAAATGTACATCTTTTAAAATTTTTTCTACCTTAATTAACAAGCCAACAACTTCCTTAGAGCAATTCCAGCCACACAGAAAGCAACATGCTTTC